CGAGTGCACAAATTTTTGTGCACTGGGCCTCTAGTCCTATATAATAAAGAGCTAATATGCTAACGGTCATGACGCCCTTACAACATAACGACCATTCAGCAGGAGGCTGCTTCCGAGACAGGGCAAAAGCGGAGAGGCACCCAGAGGAGGCGGGACCATTCCATGGCGGGTAGGGCAGGGTTGAGAGCCTGTAGTGCCCCCTCACCAGTCCTCCGCCACCCACTGCTCATGCTCAGCATGCCCGCCGCCCACCTGCCAGGGGAAGGAGTGCATGTGCCTCCAGGAAGCAGCGCTTGAAACTCCACAGCAGGCGGGAGGCTTCCAAGCTCTCCTCCGGCACCATGATGGGGCGGAAGCGGGAAGGCGCCCGGAGGCGGCAGGACCAGCCCAAGGCGACTCGTGGGACTGAGGGCAGGGCTTGAAGTGGCCAGAGGCGCCGGGCGCAGGGCCAGGCATGCTCAAGCTCTGGATGGAGAGGTTAGGATATCAAGGCAGAGTGGCAGGCAGGCTGCACAATTTTGCACGCCGGGTCACTAGTCTGTTATAAAACACACACACTCATGATTGAATTATTTATGCTTTTCATCCAGACTCATTCTCCCTCTGTCTCCAGTTTATAGATAGTAGGTTCTACTTAAAAGTATGTATTCGAAAGTATGAACACCCTTTTGGATAATCTTTATGGTAATAACAAATCAGCTTGCTCTAAACTTTGGTACTGGTACTATTTTTTTATTATTAATGTCCTATACTATAATATATAATAATAGCCCAGTGCACAGATTCATATACCAGTGGGGTCCCTTGGCCTGACCTGCGGGGATCGGTCTGAAACCGGCTCTCGGACATCCCCCGAGGGGTCCCGGATGCGAGAGGGTGCAGGCCAGGCTGAGGGACCCCACCAGTGAACGATAAGGGCCGGGGAGGGACCACGGGAGGGCTCTGGCCAGTCTCACCCAGTCCCTATTGGCCAGACCCCAGCAGCAAGCTAACCTACTGGTCGGAGCATCTGCCCCCTGGTGGTCAGTGTGCATCATAGCGACTGGTCAAACAAACTGTCAGCTCGAACGAACTGTCAGACACTTAGCATAATAGCACAAAGGTTTTTAGAATGGTGAATGAAGAAGTGTGTGTGATCATTTTTACAATGTTTCCTGTACTGTTCTAAACCTTTCTGAACTATTTTTAGGAGTTGATGAGATTATAGTTTCAAGTAAGTAGAAAGAAAAACTTCTCAAGGAAAAACAAGCTTACAGGCATACCTCATCTTTTGCACTTCACAGATGATGTGTTTTCTTACAAATTGAGGGCAAGACCCTTCACTAGCAAAAATACTGTGATTCATGTTATTATAATTCTTTCTTTATTGTGGTGGTCTGAACCCTTAGTATCTGAGTTATACCTTTATATAAATTAGATTTTTCCAAATGTCCTTCCACCTAGTCTAGTGCTATTTTCACTATAACTTCCTTTTCTAGGTTGCCTGCTTTATTTATAAGCAGGAATACCTATGCAATAGTCTCTAAGAGAAAAGACATGTTTGAATTGATGTTTAACAACTTTTAAATTTTCTCTCTCAAAAAAAAATTGGGCTCTATTTTGTAAGCTATAGAAATTTTATCAGTAAGTAATAGTTGTTTTACCTGAAGAGAAGACAAACATGCTCTCTCTTTTTTCTATTTCAAAACGTGAGGCCATCTCTTCCTGACTTGCCTCTTCTTCATCTCGACATTCCTGTAATTGCCTCATCTTTTCCATGAGGGCTTCGACCTCAAAGAAGGAATCACTTATCTGAATAGAAAATACAATTAATGTTTCTTACACTAGTCAGAGGATGAAAGTTTTGAATTTTAACAGAATATAGGAAAAATAAATCTTAAAATGTTAGTATATATGAGTGAATCAAAAATTGGGTTTGGTCTGTTACACACAGAGATACAAAGATTTGAAAATATAAGAAAAACTTTAAGAACACATTCTAATGTTTTTTTTACCTTAGAAAACTTGCAATGTCATTACTGTTAATGTTAACTTTTAAAAATTAAAATTTAATATTACTTGTCAATTTAAAACAAATATTTTAGAAGTTAATTTTTATTTGCTCAATCAGTTTAAACAAGTAAGATGCACAAAGTATAAGTGGTTTTGCATCAACTATATACATTAGGCATATTGTCAACATGTTTATCATCTCTAAATACAGTAATCAGCCCTATCTTTCAATTTACCAATTACTGGTAAGAATGAACATGTCCTTTATAGGGCTGGAGTTGTCCACCTGACCTCTGCAAATGGGGCTGGCAGCTGTCACTTACTGGGATGACTACAGCAGTGGCATGGTTGTAATGACAGGTCTGACACTAGAGGAATGGCAAAATGGTCTTAAACCAGCCAAACAATTTATACTTCTATACCCTGCTGCATCCTTACTATGAAAGATGGTTCAAATCTGTAGTATTTATACCTTATAAAACATAGTAAGAAACCTTAAAATTTAAATCTCAGTGTTCAAATGCAAAATGAGTGTTTCCCCTTTATAAATTTATTTTGCTATGAATGTTCTTCCCCCTACTCTTCTGCCTTACACCCATTGGTCCTTCAGGTGTCAGGTTACATGCTTCTCCTGAGTCCCCACCCCCACCAACCCAGTCACTCTAATTATTCTCAAATAGCACTCTGCTCTTTCCTTCAGAGAGTGAATCAGTTTGTAATTATTATTGCATGATAATGGTTTAATGCTTCCTTAAGACCAAACCCTTATAAGGGAAGGAGGCCTATTTAATTTATTAGTATATTTTCAGAATCTAGCATAGTGCCTTGCACATAGTATTCAAGAAATATTTGTTGCAGAATGACTGTCAGGATAAGTCTATGTTAAGAGAAAAATACTGTATACTTTTTTGGGGGGTACTTTTTTGCGGGTACTTATTTTCATATGACTCTAACAGTTACAACAAAGTGTCCTTCCTATACTAAGTGCTTTCTCTCATAATATCATGATGGAAAGCGTTTCTATGATATATTGATGATTCTTCTGATGCATACCTCTCCATAATTATTCCTGAGACAGGACTAGTAGCCAAACAAAAAACTTAAAAAACTGAAAAGGGATTGTGTTGCTTAAGAGAAAGACCCAAGGTTTTTTGTTGTTTTCTTAATCAAGGTCTCTGTCAACTGACATTATCCCTTTATTATGTTAATTTGTTTACCCATTTTCCTCTAAAACTGTTCAAAATTTAAATATTCTTAGATGAGACACTTGATAGAAATGAGGGAAACAGTGTATTTTAATATTAAAATGTTGATATTATATGAGGAAATTATTTTTGGTTTGTTTTTTGCCATTTGTCTCTGAAGAATACGCTATATCAGATGGCTGTTAAGTCCCATCAGTGTGGGATATAAACCTTCTAAAAGTAGCCAACCCAACACCTGAAAATAGGAAGCTTATCTACTACAGAAAACTTTTCTATTATTTCACTATTATTTTAATAGAAGGATCACTAAAAACAATCAAGTACTTTTCTTTAGCCTTGTACTGTATCAAAAGTAGGGAAGAACAATAATACAATTTCCAAGCATCCTAGCAACTGATATACTCTCCCTTAGACCATCTCTTAACTTCTAAGCTTTGATAAATAATCACTGGCCATATGCAGACCTATAATGTGAACCCAACTAGCTCAAAAGAGGATGACAATGGTGGTCTTGGGCTTTGTCAGCAAAGCATGCTGATCAACCTTGAAAATGATTTTCCTTCATGTGCTGATCTCACCGTATGTAATTTAGCACCTGATAAATACCATTCTAGACCTTTTATCTCTTCAGAGACATTTCATTTAAAACTTACAAAAACCTTGTGTTTGATATTTATACATGAAAGAACAGAAGCCCAGAGAGGTTAGTTAACTTGCCCACAGTCAAATATATAAGTTAAAGGCAATTTAACCTGTTCAAATCTGTTTCAAAGGAATAATACAATGGAGAAAATCTATGCAAAGTATTCAGAAAGCTGTGATGCTATTTCTCTGATTTCTCTTGGAAACATAAAATAAGCCCTTGCACTTTCACTATAGCAAAAGAATGTAGAGGGAACTTTGATTCAAATTTGCTTATAGAAAATTCAACTCATCTGTTTCAAAGGAATAACAACTGAGAAAATAAAAAAGCCAGAGAAAAGTAGAGGTGAAAGCATTTTTAAAAAATTACATTTGTTTTAATATTTATTTGTATGAAATTAAACATGAAAAAGAATTTTAAAAGGAGAAATTTCTAGGTCAAGGGTAATTAAATCTTCTACAAGATAAAAAATTAAGACGCCAGCTTGTGTCTTTTGTCCAGAAGGGAAGAAAAGGATGTAATCGGCATTAGGAAGTCCCTACCACCGTGTAGCACTATTCTCAACCTTCTCTCACTGCAATAGCTCTTCAGTACTAGCTGGCTCTGATGGGGCACATGCTGGTGGCTCCTCATCCTAAAATTTCTCAAACATAACTTCCTAGGTGGTCTTATACATTTGTATATCCCTTAGTACTGGACTAATGCTGGGTATTTGGAGAGAGTCAATAAATACTTGCTGAATGAACAGATACAGGGGCCCAATGGGAAAAAAAAACAAATAGCAATTATTGAGATTAGTCTTATGACAATCATGTAACAAAATAAGAGACTTACCGAAACATTTCCTGCTGAGTTGACCTGATTCTCTTCCACACTGTGATTGCCATTCGTAATGTCACAGATGCAGTAGTTATTAACAGAAGGAGGTCTGAATGTGTGGCCACCATCACAATGAATTTCTGGACTGATTCCACAGCCAAATGTGAACGAGGCAAGAGAATGATAGTGTGTGAGTAGAACTACTGCATGTACCAGTTCTGCAAGGGACCAGCTGTGCTCTTCAGCTTTTAAAAGTTGCTTAGGGAGGGAAAAGAATATTTTAATATTGGGGTATGGTGTTGATGAAAGTAGATAGTTCATCTTGGTATTTAATCTATTGAAAACAGAATTAGTCAGTATATAAACGTTTGCATAAAATTACAATTTGTGACATGTAGACCCCAAATTTGCTAATTTTTATGAACTGTGTTCACCAATAGAGCTTAACATAATGCGATAACGATACATTATCATTTTTATTTTCTGAAATCCTGATTTAAAAATTAATAGAATGCACTTTGCAGTAAAAGCGTATTAAAAGCAGTTACCTTATTTCAGATACTAGGTTATGAATGGATTAACTATGTTGTTCAAAGTTTCAAATCCAATATAATCTGTGTTCAAGGGGCAGCTACTGTATAAAATATGCCTGGTTTTTATTTGTTTTATTATCAGCTTCCTCAAGGAATTTTTAAGATAGCAGTTTGTACAACTTGACAGAATATTCCTAAATTAGTCTATAACTCTTCAGAGTCTTACAATCTGTGTCTCTCCTGCTCCATAATCTTGTATAATTTTTGATTACTAAACAATATTGTATTAATCATATTCAAAGTTTGTATCTTCTTGATGTTTCAATTATGTAACAGTATCTAAAATGTTCTACAAAAAGATATATTTAAGAATTTCTATTGCATGGTAGATACTTTTAGAGAATGCCAATCTACTTTCATTCTATTATGTTTTTAAAATATATTTTTATTGATTTCAGAGAGGAAGGAAGAGAGAATAATTGATTGGTTGTCTCCTGCATGCCCTACACTGGGGATCAAGCCCACAACCCAGGCATGTGCCCCGTTGGGGAATCGAACCATGATCTCCTGGTTCATAGGTCAACACTGAGCCACTATTCTATTATCTTTATTAATAAATAGAACCAGAAGGAAGTAGTTTAAGATGGTATTTTTAAAAGATATAAAACAAGATGCCACTTCACAGTTATCAGAATGGCTAAAATCCAAAACACTGATAACACCAAATGCTGGCAAGGGTGAAGAGCATAAGAATGCTCATTAACTGCTGGTGGGAATGCAAACTGGTATAGCCACTTTGGAAGACAGTTTATCACAAAGCTAAACATAGGCTTACTATACAATCCAGCAATCACTCAATTATTTACCCAGCTGAATTTAAAACTTATGTCCACCAAAAACCCTTCACATGAATGTTTATAGCAGCTTGATTCACAATTGCCCCAAACTGGAAGTAACCAAGATGTCCTTCAATAGGTGAATGGATAAACAAATGGTGGTACTGGACCGTTTTTCAGCAATAAAAATAAGTGAGTGCCCTGGCCAGTTTGGTTCAGTTGGTTGAGCACTGTCTGTGCACCAAGAGGTCACATGCTTGGGTTGTGGGCTTGATTCCCCAATAGAGGCCATGCAGGAGGCACCGGATCATCAATGTTTCTCCCTCTCTCTCTAAAATTAATAAAAAAACTATTCTTTTTTTTTTAAAGAACTATCAAGCCATTTAAAGGCATGTAGGAACCTTAAATACATACTAATAAATAAAAGAAGCTAGTCTGAAAAGGCTACATACAGTACTGTATAATTCCAACTACATGACATTCTGGAAAAGGCAACAGTAAAAAGATCAGTAGTTGCAAGAGTTTAGGGGGAAGGAGAGATGAACAGGGGACTTTTAGAGTAGTGAAATTATTCTGTGTGATACTATAATGGTGGATACATGACATTATGCATTTGTCAAAACCCATAAAACTATACAGCTCAAAGAATGAACCTGAATGTAAATATAGTTTAGTTAATAGTTTATATCAATATTGATTCATCAATTACATAAAATGCACCATACTAATAATGCTAGATGTTAATAATAGAAGAACTTGGGTATGTGTATTGGGGGAGTTTGAGGGGATAAAATATGGGAAGTCTGACACTTTTTTGTAAACCTAAAACTATTCTAAAGAGTCTATTGAAATTTTTTTTTTGGTGGTAAACACACAATACAATATACAGATGGCATATTATATACCTGAAACCTGTATAATTAATCAATGTCACCCCAACAAATTCAATTTAAAAATTTTAATGCCCCCCTAGATATATTACTTTACTACTTACCTCAATGTGTTCTTTAGTAATAAGCCAAGGTCTGTGGGCTAACAATTTGTTAAGTTCTCCTAAATTTTGTAGTTTTTGAGGAGCATTCTCTAAGCCATTAAGCCACTTGGAGTCCCCACCAACATGAAGGAAATCATTTACATGGAGGTTCACTAAGTAGGAGCACTGATGTCTTGCTGCAGCCTTAACAGAAAACAAAAAGATTATTCTAATAAAATCTTGAACTACAAATCCTTTTTCTTTATAATGTTCAAAACAGCTAATTAAAATTTTTATTAGTGTCTTTCAAATTTTCCTAAACTACAGAAATGAAGTTTTCATATAAACAGTTTAAAAATTTATATACCATAGAGAGCACCTCAGAAATATTCCAAGAACAAACAAAATATCTGATAAAATTATTTGAACATTAGGAACTTCACTTACATACCAACTTTCAAACACTCAACTTTCAAAAACTCAGATTAAGAAGAAACTTTAATTAGCATCACTTGTATCAGTGTGAACTATTTATAATAGTGAAACAGATATTGTATTCTAGTTTATTCTCAAAAGTATGTAAATACATGTTTCTTTTTCTGTTATACTTGAGAGCATACTTATTTGGAAAGAGGAAAAACAGACACTAACTAACAGGAATCCAGTAAGAAGTCACAATGTATGTATTTATCCCTAGGTTTAAAGTATTAAAACTTTCTTAGACATTTCTTAAAAAGATTAATAAAGCAGGCAGAATTTTTCATTGAATGTTCACAAACCATTATTCCAATGTAGTGCCGGTAATGCAGGGGTAATGGCCCATCCATTTGCAGTAGATAGTGTTGAGTTTTTAAGAAACTTTCTAAATACTGTGGGTGAAAAACCATCACTAATGTAATGTTATCCAAACGACCCAAAGCAGCAAAAGAATCTGCAAATAAAGCATGCATTTGTGCGTCTTCACTCCCCACCTGAAGAATCTGTATAAAAGAGAGAAAATCAGGATTACATAAATTGTAAATTGGTGTTAAAGAAAATATGCATGCAGTGCATTCTAAGTATCATCTAGAAGCAGATTAAATTTGGCTTAAGAGAAGAGAGGGGTTACAAATTTAACTCAACTGGCAGCAGATAGAACGGTCACATATTATGTAGAAGGGAATGAACATTAAAGGCCGTCTAGAAAGCCTGCTTGCAGACCTGTCCAGAATCCAGATAAAGAAGCATATTTAGATTAACAAACTTGCAAAGCTTGCAAATAGATACTAAAGCTTTTCCTTATAACAATGCCTACTCTCACTTAATTTAAGGAGAACCAAAATTGACTAATAGAAAACAATCTGTAAATAAAGCACAGGAGTAATTACATACTTAAAATTAAAGATCCAATCGAGCACTGGTACCAACCTGTGGAGATGGTCAAGACCAAGTAACTCAGCTCTGGACATTCCTAAATAATATCTAAATATAATCAGATGGATTATCATTGGTCAAAACAAGTCTTGCCTTTCCTTGATTAAATATGGGTGTTAGAAATACTAGAAATCAACATGACTACAACAGCTTTCTAATCCCACAGATTCACTGCCAAAGCATGATTAATTGTGAACAACTTTGCGTAAAACATGTTGTTGACTAATAATAACAACTGTTCAGATGCCAAGATGTAGGTCATGAAAGGTTTTCCTTAAAAGCACACAGTTCACTATGTACTTTCACAAACAACATACCTCCTTTTCTGGGATAAATCTGCTTGGTCCATGTCCTAGTGGTCGAGGAATTCTAATTCCAAGTTCCTAGAAAAGAAAATTACACCATCTCAGGCCTCCAGCAGTAAACAACATGAACTGAGGCTAAAGGAAAGAGGGGGAACACAAGCAGTTGAACAGAGACAGGCTTGTTTTGGTGGTTGCTTTCATGGCCACATATACATACCAACCCCTCTGTTTGCATCACATAACTGACAACAGCTTACAATATGACTCTGACGAAAACAATGAAACCTGTTTCACTTAAAGCAGAGTTTTGCATAAAGTACTTGGCAAAATGTCTAGAACAGAAAGTTCAGTACATAGCAGCCAACCCTGTGGATTGTCAGTGATACAAAATAAGACCAATGTGTTTGTACATCTAAAACACAACCAACCAAAATATTAATTCCCGTGCATCTTGTCAGGAAATGAAAAAGCAGTAGCCCCTACGTAGATGTCTTAAACTAAAAGAAGTATAATTATTATTACATCTATAATAATGGTTCACAATAAGGACAGAAATATTATGAAAAATAAAGTTATTTAAATCTACAAAAGAGAAAGTACTGAAGGACATGTTTTCTCTGTGGTTGAATAAAAGCAATTTTAGAGAAATTAATTTTGTTTGTGAGCCTTAAATTAAGTTTTTTATCTACAGGATGCCATCAACCTTGTTATATTTTAGGAAAGCTCAAGTAATTGTGAAATGTTTTTTTGCTTTTTGACGTAGTGAGTCTAGAATCCCATACCTGGAATCTAGAATTCTATACCTTATGTAACAATGAAGTGTGGTTAACAAAAACTAAAAATCTACTGTTAAGGCTTCCATTCCCCCCGCCCCCCAATACAGTGTGCTTTAGAAACAAAATAAAAATAATTCAACTTTATTATTTTTTTAAGGCTCATCAATCTGGTCTCTAAACAAAAACTTCTTAGTGTTTTAACAACTAAAGATTAACCCTTGCTTAGGTACAAATTACATTACATACAAAATTAATACAAATAGCATTTCTCTCCTCTCAATACTGCTTCAAAAAGTCCTTCATGATATAAAACAGATGCTTTCTTTTTAAAGAAAAAAGGGGCGGGAGGGTTAAAGAAGGACATGTGGCAGCAATTCAAGAAATCTGGTTCAAGTGAATGAAAACCTTTTGAGCAGAATGAAGTTTTAAAAATTAAGCAGGCAGAACAAAATAGAAGATAATCTTTATTAGAACTCAGGATTCAGATTCAAAGTATGCTATATTTACTAAATGAATCTATAGCATATACAATTCAAATAATCTTGTATTGGAGATCAGTGATCTTAATCAGATTATTCCACACTTATTCTGAAGATAGTAATGTTCTAACCACCACACACTTCATTAGAGGAGGCACTCAATTCATTGGTCTATGTATGTGTCTTGATTTTAATATCCTATCATAAATACAAGAAAAAACCCCCACGTTCCTGCTTTTCAATACATCATCTTGGTATAATTGCAGCCATATACATATAAAACAATGACTCTATTAGCCTTTTTAACTGCCGAATCTCTAATCTAATTACATACAGTTCAAAAAATATATATTGGGCAAAACTTTAAGGCTAAAATCAATATTTACCCCTTCTGATATCTTTACTATCTTATTTAAACAAAATGCATTTTAAGAAAATATCCATTTCAAGGGTTTATTATTCATTTTTATAACGAGACATTATTCTTGGGACTTTAGTATATAAAAAGGTGACATATCAAGTGTGGGAGATTATTCAACAAATGATCTTGGGACAACTCCAAATGAAGTTGGAGCCTTAAATCATACTTTACTCCACATAAATGTGTTACATATAAAAAAAATAAACTGAAAACCATTGCAGTGGTAGAACAGAACACATGAAATGGAGCAGGTGTAAGAATGCCACAAAATCCAAGTCATAAAACATAGGATTGATAAATGTGATGACAAGAATACTTTTACATGGGAAAAATAAGCATACAAAGTCAAAAGCCAACAGAAAACTGGGAAATATATTTGTAATTCATATATCAAGGACTAAATTTAACATATAAAGACTCCTACAAATCATTAAGAAACCCCCCAATAACCTGATAGAAAAATGAACAAAGAACACAATTAAAATAAAAGGAAATACAAATGTAATACCTTAGTAATAATAATAAAAAAAATAAATTAAAAAAAAAAGGAAATACAAATGGCTAAAAAAAGAGATCCTTCACAATAAACCAACTACAACTTAACTACACTAAGATACCATTTTTCACCTAAGATTGTTTAAAATCTAAAAGTTTGAAAGAAAATAAAAATGATAACAGGCTATGGGGGGGGGAGAAATATCATTCAATGCTTATACATACTGATGAGTGTGTTTTGAAGTATGAGAAAAAAAGATCAAGAAATATATAATGAGTATAAATTACTACAACTTTTAGGGAGGGCAATCTTACCTAATAATAAACATGCAAATTGACCATACCTTTGCTACACCTTAAGCCACGCCCACTAGCCATCAGAGCGACTACATGCAAATTAACCCAACCAAGATGGCCGCCGGCAGCCACGGAGCTGGAGCAAGCAGGAGGCTTGGTTGCCCCAATGATGGAAGAAGCCAAGCTTCCTGGCTGTCTGCTGCCTCCTCTCAAGGCAACAAAGTTTCAATTATAGGAGGTAAATAAACCCCACATCCCTGCTTCCAGCTGCCATGGCCATGGAGCTGGAGCGAATAAAAAAAAAAAAATAGGAAAGGCTGGGAGCTTTGGTCGCTGGGGGGCTTGGTCATCTGAAAATAGCCATCAGCCCCTCACCTATATAATAAAAGGGTAATATGCAAATTGACCCTAAGCAGAACAACTGGGAATGACTGGTCACTATGACACACACTGACCACCAGGGGGCAGATGCTCAATGCAGGAGCTGCCTCCTGGTGGTCAGTGTGCTCCCACAGGGGGAGCGCTCCTCAGCCAGAAGCCAGGCTCACAGCTGGCGAGCATAGCAGCGGTGGCAGGAGCCTTTCTCACCTCTGCGGCAGCACTAAGCATGTCCAACTGCTGGCTTAGGCCCACTCCCCACTGTCAGTTGGACATCTTCTGAGGGCTCCCAGACTGCGAGAGGGCACAGTCTGGGATGAGGGACCACCCCCTGAGTGCCCAAATTTCGTGCACCGGGCCTCTAGTTTGTAATAACGATCAAAATGAAACAGTCACATACCTTTTGAATCAATAATTCCATCCTAAACATCAAGGTTACATATGTGAAATGTTATAGTATGTAAAAAGATAATCACTGTAACATTCATTGTTCTAAAAGTACAAGATATACTCATCAACAGAGGACTGTGTCAATACATAAAGAACAGTGATTTTTAACCCTTCATTTCATTGCACACATAAACTAATTACTAAAATTCTGCAGCACACCAAAAAAATATATTTGTTGCCGATCTGACAAAAAAAATAGGTATAATTTTGATTCATTCACACCAGATGGCTATTGTGTTTGCTGTTGTCATTTTTTATTTGACAATCTAAGGGAAAAAGAGGTCAGTGCCCCTAACTAAATAGTAGGGTATTGCATGTTTTAAAATTATTGTGGCACACCAGTTGAAAATTGCTGGACTAGAATAACATGCATTGTACAAAATGAGGCAGTTCCTTATGGGTTGGCTTTAAAAGATCTCCAAGGTATAGAATGTGGGGGCAAAAAAGCAAAGTATATAATTACTAGAGGCCCGGTGCACAAAATTCTTGCACTTGGGGGGAAGGGGTCACTCAGCCTGCCCTGCACCCTCTCACAGTCCGGGAGCCCTCGGGGGATGTCCGACTACTGGCTTAGGCCCACACCCTGGCTTAAGCCAGCTGTCGGAAATCAGTGCTGCCGGTGTGCTCGCCAGCCGTGAGCGTGGCTTCTGGCTGAGTGGCACTCCCCCTGTGGGAGCGCACTGACCACCAGAGGGAAGCTCTTGCATTGAGTGTCTGCCCCCCTGGTGGTCAGTGTGCATCATAGCGACCGGTCATTCCGCTGTTTGGTTGATTTGAATATTAGCCTTTTATTATACAGGATGTTCCTCTTTGTAAGGAGAGGCGGGGAAATAGCAATTCCACTTCTAGGACTTTATTCTCCAAATACATTAGCAGCATATTGTAGGTGATATATATAAAGTTTTTTAATGAGACCAGATTGATAGCACATGGGCCTCAAAGAGGTTGAATATCATTTTGGTTTTATTTTTATACCAAATGTATAGTTTATATACCAAAATATTATAAAACAATAGTTTTCCAGTTCTAAGAAAGTCACTGATGTTTCGGAAATGGAATATTTTCCTATAGTTATGGCAAGGGTCTTTGCCAACAGTCCTATGTAATTTTCAAGTCTTTGTAAGTCCATCCATACAGCTGTAGGAATTTAGAGGCCATATTGGTATCACTGTCTCCCCTCTTCCTTGCCTTCATTGGCCAAACCCTTCCTCCCTGTTCCTTAGGAAATAAATTCTTTTAAAGGGGAAGATGATGCATTTTAAAACAGGATGTTAAGAAAAGCCAACATTACCCTAACTGGTTTGGCTCAGTGAGTAGAGCGTCGGCCTGCAGACTCAAGGGTCCCAGGTTCGATTCCGGTCAAGGGCATGTACTTTGGTTGTGGGCACGTCCCCAGTAGGGAGTGTGCAGGAGGAAGCTGATCGATGTTTCTCTCTCATCGATGTTTCTAACTCTCTATCCCTCTCCCTTCCTCTCTGTAAAAAAAAAACAATAATATATATATTGTTTTAAAAAAAAGAAAAGACAACATTTGGGACTGGATTATAGATTCATTATGCTAATAACCTCTTAGTGTAAGATCACATCCATTCCTTGATGAGGTACTAGTTTGACAAAAAGATGAATCTAAAAAAAAGAAGAGGGGACAGAAGAACAGAAAAAACTGAAAATGAAAAGGAATCTCTGACATTCAAGAATATAATTTCATTGTTTTACCTAAGGCTAGTTCTAAGTAAAACAGAATTTTACCCAGCTTGCCTTGGGCTACGAGGGTCAATTTCC